AATCACACAGTCCACAGAGGAAATAGTTGAAGAACTGCTGGAAGAAAATTTCTCTAACATCCTGAAAAGTGAAAAGATAAACATTCAAGAAGCTCAAGGAACCCCAGGAAGGAAAGACCCCAAAAGAAAATCACTGAGATATATCATAATCAAACTCTCCAAAATCAAAGATAAGGAGACACTCCTGAAAGCAGCTAGGAAAACAGAAGTGTTACATAAAAATGTAAACAAGTCAGATTAAGCTTGACTCTCTCAGTAGAAACCATGCAAGCAAGAAGGCAATGGGGAGACATATATAAAACAATGAAAGAAAAAATTGCCAACCAAGAATCCTTTATCGAGCAAAGCTATCAATCAAATATGACGGTGTAATCAAAACATTCCAGGATAAACAGAAGCTAACGGATTTTGCCAAAACCAACCCTGCACTACAAAACATCCTAAAGGGAGTTCTGTGAATTGAGAACCAGCAAGAACAGACAACCACCAGACATTGACATATGTGGTAGCACCTCCCAGAATTAAATCGACAGAAGGAAGAGTTGAGATAAGAACAAAACCATAAGGAAAAACTCAGAGAATCTCGGAGGTCAATCTATAATCAAAACAATTACAATGTTAAAGAAGGTAAAACGTAGGAACAGAGATCCAGATGGTGAGAAGGTCAGGTCAATTACAGGATAAAATAGACTGCAGTAAATGGAGAGAAAAGTTAATGGACTATAAGGCAAACTCAAAGAAAATTAACACTTCACAACATACCAAGAAAATGAAAATCCAAGAAGAACATGGAAACATAAGGAAACTCACAAGAAAGAATACAAAAAACATGAACTCAACAAAGGAAGACACACAGAACAAGAAAGCAGCAATACCACAAAAAAAAACAAAGAAAATGGCAGCAATTAATCCATACCTATCAATAATTACACTGAATGTAAATGGATTAAATGCACCTTTTAAGAGACGGAGATGGCAGAATGCATAAGAAAAAAAGATCTTTCAATATGCTGTCTAGAAGAGACACATCTCACACACAGAGACAAAAACAGATTAAAAGTCAAATGATGGAAAACAATATACCAAGGTAATTGCAATAAAAAACGAATAGAAGTGGTACTACTAATCTCTGATAAAATAAACTTTAAGGCAAAAACCATCATAATAGATAAAGATGGACATTATCTCATGATTAAAGGGACAATTGAACAAGATGACATAACCACAATAAATATCTATGCTCCCAGTGAAAGAGCTCCAAAATATATTTTAAAAACTCTAATAGATTTGATTAAAGAAATAGAAGAATCTACAATA